CCGCCGCCATCACCACCACCGGCGGCGGCGGCAGCGGCGGCGGCGGCAGCGGCGGCAGCATCGAAGTCGGCGCCGTTCGTGGCGGCGGCCATGGCGGCTGCGGCGGCTGCGGCTGCGGCGGCTGCGGAAGGGGGTATGATGCGGCCGCTGGAGGGGAAACCGCTGACGATGCTGGCGGTAGGAGGGGAAGCCCCTGACGGCCTGCAAACGAGTTTCGGGGGGAATTGTCGAGGATTCAGGGGGTGGAGGGGGGGGGGAGAGGCAGACACAAACCCCAGCGTGGGATTGCGCTGAGGGCAGATTTGGGCGGTTCGTTTGGACGCAACGCATAATAGGCCCGATGAAACGCGAGTTTGGATCTGTCCGCACCTTGTCAGGAGTTGTGGGGCTGTGTTCGTGCTTGCGGCATTCCAGCCATAAGATGAAAGACCACAAATGTGCAAGGGAGATCGGAAATGTTTAGTGGTTCCATTTCTTCGCGAGCCAGAAGCTAGACCTACTGAGAACATTTTGAAGCGGTTTTCCTCGCCCAGTCGAGGCAGCGGTGCCACAAGCAGGTTATTTTTTCTATTCTTACTCGGACACCGAGGGCACACCATCCAGGGGTAACAGTAGTAGCCTGCGGCACGTTCGAGGGCAACCGGGCCACCCGAACAAACAAAAACAACCACTCACGAAAGACGGTTCAGCGATATCCCAGGCAGCCTCCCGGCGATCATGACCCCACGTCCCGCATGCTCCGGCCCACCACCTCTCACGGCCCCATCCCCGGCGCTCTTCCCCCCGCCACCAACGTCAGCCTCAGCAGCCGCCGCCGCCCGCGGTCCCGTGTCTGCTCCGGCAGGCGAAGCAGCGGCAGAAGAAACGGGGGCCGCCGCGGCAGCGGCTTGTTCCGCCGGGGTGCTGCTGCCACCACCCGTCGGAGGCGGCGGCGGCGGCGCCCCCGCGACTGCTTTGCGCGGCTGCTCCTGCTGCTGGTGTCCGTTGTTGTCTCCGTCTTCTTCTCGGCCCCGCTTCCTGGGCGCCGACGGCGATGGTTCCGCCGCCGCCGCCGTCGCCGCCGCCGCCGCCGGCACCCCCGCCTCCATCCCCACCCCGGTCTCCCTAGCAGACGGCTGTCCCTCACCAGCGCCACCGCTTACGGCGTCAGCCCCGCTGCTACCAGCGGACAGCGGCGGCGGCGATAGCGGCGACAGCCGCCCACCCCCGCGGGAGGCCGATCCGGTGGACGCTGCCGCCGAGGTGCCATCCCCTCCCCCATCAGAAAAGTCCACGTCGCTGCTGGCGCTATTGCCGCCGCCGCCGCCGCTGCCGCCGCTGCCGCCGCCGTCATCGCCCACGGGGTTCTTGAGCTTCCTCTTCTTCGCAGGAACCGCCAGCTTGTCTTCTCAGGGTGCTAGCCGCACTACCCTTTGAAGGGGCAGTGGACTAGAGCAACAAAAACTGATTAGGGTGCTCAGGCACGTCGTCCTTCCCGCCAGATAGGTGACCCAGCGGCTTGCTCCCTGATCTTGGGGGTGACGTTGCAGGGAGGGATGTGTGTGGTAATTGGCATGATACCCTTACTAAATAAAAAGCACTTCACGCGAAGAGAAGTAATCTGTTGGATGGATGACGGTCAAACTAAAAAGTGCATGTCTCCCTGCGCGAAGCACCACCGGAAATAACAGGGCTCCCCCATCCAAGACATGTTTGTTCACCCGCGCGCAACTTGTGTCGTCGTATTGAACCGCCGTACAGACCGCCACGTGTGAACCAGGTCGCTCGCACAACCGAACAGACGTGAAATGTAACGCTTTCTATCTTTCGATGTTTCGTATATCCTGTAGGTTGAGTCAACAATAGCTGTTTACTTTTATTTTTCGTCCCATCTCCTCACATGCTAAGATATGTTTGACCAACCGGCCGGGGTCACACGGGAGGCAATCTCGGTTTTTCCTCCTACAGTCCTTGTCTTCTACTGTATTGTTTTCCTTGACAAGGGTTCAGGAGCAGTCCTTCCCGCTCTATTGCGTGTTTTCTGCCTGTACTCACGACCACGCGCTGATCAACGGCCGTAAGTGTCCTTCGTTCCTGAGAGATTCGGACCCGCAACCTAGACTAGACTGCCATAGAGCCACGAGGGGGTTCGAGGCTACCACGTACCAACGACGCCACCTCAGCCGCTGCTGTTCGAGTGACCAAGGTGTTCTTCTGGCACTGGAAAAACGCGGAAGGTACAGCAGTACAGAAGTAGATAACAGGAATACCCCGGGGGGGGCGGAGGAACTACACCATTGCTGGTGCTGGTGCTAGTGCTGTGCATCGCGAACGGAATATGATGCACCAATGCTGCTGCTGCAACGCGAACGGTATCTCGAGAGTGTCGCGCTCGCCACATTCACCGGCGAGAGTCCCTCCCGTGCTACAGCAGTAGTGCTAACCTTCAAGGGGGACAGACTGCTGTCATCAACATAGCACCGCTGGCGGCACCGGAATCAACCCCCGCTGCCGCAGTTGCACACCAGGAGGGTCGCAGGGATAAAGAGGGAAGTGCGCCACCCATCAGCTAAGCTTGGGGCGGTGGGGTGGCTTACGCCTGTTTACCCATCGCCGTCCAGACCCGCACATGCCGCCCAGAGTACCCAACGCCACCAGCCCCAGAGCACCGGGCAGTCGTGATCAACCCAAACAAGCCCGGATGAAAGCGATTCTTCTCTGTCTCTTATGCATACTTGTCGGAGACAACGAGTCCCAACACCTGGGCGGCCCAAACCCGCGTTTGCTTGTGCGTCTTGAGGAGGCTGCTGCACAGAGCCCAAAAAATAGTCCCCCATGGGTGGTAGTAAAACGCTCGTTTTTTCTGTTACCTGATGCGTCCTGCACGCACCAGAACCTACAATAATCTAGTAGGAGTTCGTGTTCAAGCAGCTTCGTATCGCGGCGAAACAGGACGAGCCCAGAGCGAGGTTGAGGAACATATACGACCCTCTGAAAGCCAGAGAGAAAACCAATCGTCGGCAAGAGAGGGTGACTTCGGAAGCAGCAAGACGCGAGCAGCCGTGATTCACCCGCAAAATCTGTTGGGCGACGGCGCGCACAGATCGAGCCCCGCCTCCGAGCACAGGCAAATCGCTAGTCAGGGATTTGGCACGTTCACACATGTTCGCAGGCAGGGAGGGATGGGTCTCCGCATTGAAACAAAACAAACGAAAGCAGAAAGCTGCCCGTGGGAAAAAAAACGGACATAAGCGGTAGGAAGCAGGAGTAGAGCGCGAGCAAGCTGAATCTGACAGTACCGTGCAGTTTTCGATGCTTCCGAGAGCGGAGCCTGAGCAGAGAGCACAGCTGGCGAGAACGAGGCGTGCAGGCACTGCACGCCAGTGCTGTTGGTGAGCGGGCACCGGGCGCGCTCCCCCAGAGACAAGAGAGGGAGTGTCTTGAAGTGTCTATTGCCTTATTGGCACGTCTATTGGCGGCTTCGATTCCAGCGGCCGCGAGGTTGTGTTTCGTTGTGGGGTAAAAAAGCCACAAGTGAGACTCGAGAGAGGAGAGGTGGGGATCGAAAAGGTTCACCTGTTCGCGCTCAAGGCGCTTTCCTTGCGTTCTTCCGAGATCTGAGATCCAGGCACCGTTCGACGCTGTTCCCTGCTGGCTGCTGCCTGCCTTCCGGCTCTCTTCCCACGGTCGCGTGACAGTCCCTCGAACGGGGCGGGTCTGACAGTCCAGCACACGCAACCAACAACCAACAAGCGGGGTTAACGGCAAGGGCGGGGTTGACGGCTCTCGTGTCCCCGGTTTTCCCCTCTTCTCGCAATAAATAAAACGGGCGAACAGCAGCAGCATCACCGAGGTTTGCGGGGTGCACATGGGGCTACAAGGGTCCAACACCTCTGTATGCAACCTTGATCTCCCTACATTCGTGAAGGGTCGTGGGAAATAGCGGCAATGCTTACTGCTGCTGTGGCTTTTCGATCCATCCGTGAGTTGGTCGAATTTGGATCTTTTCGACATCTTTCCTGCTTCGCATTACGTATCGTCCGCTGATTGGCTGAGATTCACATACCGTAGAGTAAGAGAGACGGCACCCCGTGCTAGCGTTTTTTGTAGCGCATTTCTCCACAACTAGGAGGGTGCGAACCCAATACCTCTCACGAAAGCCCTCGACGAGATGTCTCCTACCCTTTTCGGCAGTGGTACCCCCTGGTTGTGGAGAAATACGCTGTACAAAAACACGGCGGTGCCATCTCTAAGACTTACGGTTGTTGTTGTTGTTGTTGTTGTTGTTGTTGTTGTTGCTCACTTTATTTAGCTCTAGACTAGTCTATAGTCCACAAAAAATGGGGAGCCCGTGGTCTCAAGACCCGGCACATACGACGCCGCGGGGAAACAAAACAAAAATAGGGTACAAACCACTCGGACACAGCAAACAAAATGATGGAAAGAAAAGAACAGGTATCGCACCGACCGTTCGAGAAAAGAACCCTCGGAAACCGATCAAAATAAGAGAAAAACAAAAATAAAGGAGGACGCTTCCCACACCCGCCCAAAGAAAAAATCAAAGGGTAACGTACCAGCACCTGGCACTACGCAACAGGGCATGGAAGTACTGGAGCAAACAGGACAAAGAGTTGGCAGATGGGCAGACAGCCAGACGTACAAAAACAAAGGCAACAGCAAAGGCGAGATCAAGGTACCCAACACAGCAGAGTAGGCAGGGAGGTATGAAAAAAAGAAACAAAGCACAGAGGCCGAAGGCAATACAAAGGACATAGCTACATAAAGGAGTATAGCATACAGCAGGCAGGGAAACAGGGCGCAACAACATCAGCCGGGAACAAAGTTCGCCACAAGTGCTGCCTCGGCCGCCCTACTCGCTTCTACAGCAGTGCCCGGTCGCCGTTTCTTCCCCCCCACCGCCGCTTCCCCGACTCTCTTTCTCTTCGGTCCTGAGATGGCCGTACTCTCTGCTTCTGCTTCCCTCGCGCGCTGGCGCTTCGCGGACGCTTCCGCCTCCTGCCTGTGCCATTTCCTCATGAGCCATGCCGCCCCGTCCTCGACCTTGTTGTACCACACCTCCGGGTCCTTGGCGCTCTCTTTCCATTTCCCCCC